GGTTGGATGTTGGCATAGTGGTTCTGAGGTTCTATGCAAGACTGGCCCAAATGGGAGAGTTCTATGTTCACAACCAGAGGCCTCCCTGGACTTCACTCTAGGCACGTGTGCCCACAGCCCAGAGCTGGGGTGAGCAGTAGTGTCCAGACCCAGTTGGGAGGTACCTGTTTGTCTCTTACTCATGGAAGAGAAGAAGGAAAAAAAAAAAAAAAAAAAAAACCTTTGAGGGCATGTGCATTTGCCAGACAGAGATCTAGAGAGAGGGAGAGGAGAAAGCACCCCCAAAGGTCATGTGCAACCCCTTCTCCATTTCTCCATTCCTTCAGGATTCTGAGTACACACAGTATATCTTCCAAGCTATTGGGGCAGAAACTTGAACTGTGGTCAACCACATGAGACCCAGCACCTTAACTTCCAGCTGTAGAGTTGGTTGGAATGAGTAAACGTATAAAACTGGAAAACATGTATTGGCGGTTGTATTTTCGAGCAGCTTTGCTAGGTATTTTCAAGTTAGAAAATTTAGGGTTCAGTACTAAATTTAGGGTTCAGTAAATTTACCAAGTATTCCATATATGAAAACCATAGTCCTGGGCTCAGCTTGAAATGAGGGGTGAGGTGAAGAGATTTGATCTTGGGAACCAGCAGTTAGCGTAATGGCTATGTCACTGGATTCCCACGTAGTCGACCGCGGTTCGTGTCCCGGACCCGGTGGCTTGAAACTCACGCCGGGCGCGTGTGCGTGCGTGCCCAAGATCCCGAGAGGAGAATGGAGGAGAAGGGATTGCGGGCTGAGGTGAAGAGATTTGATCTTTTCTTTTGAGAAGGAGGGTTTGTCTTGAGAAGTTCCTAAAGACATGAAATTTTTGTACCTCAAGCCAGTCAAAGGGATTCTAATGCCCTAGAAACCTATTGGCTCCTCCTCATGGTTGCTCTAATTTCTCAGTCTTTGATGATCTTTGGGAGATGATGCAAAAAGCATTGGCTATAGCCAATTATTTATAAATAATAAATTGGCTATAAATAAATCCTTTGGTGAGAAGCTTTCTACTTCCCCATTTTAAACTAAATAACTGTGCTTCAGACACTTACAGTGTGTTTAAAAAATATTTACCTTGAATATCATGGTTTCAAAGCTGCAAAAACATGTAAGGTCATAGCATTTGTATATATAGTTAGAATTCCATTGTTATTAATATAACCATCGCAAGTTTCTTAAAGTACATACACAAAGATACTATTATTCGAATTGTGAATGAGGAAATAATGCAGTTGTTTATATTCAGAAGAATGCACTTCATGTATAAAAGTATTGCTATTGAAATGCTTTAGTCAACTTCCTTATCTAGAAGTAATAGAATAGATAATAAGTCTGTCTTGATTTCATTTCAAGGTGAATCATTGGCTGTTCACCATCATCTCTATTAGGCAGTTTCAAATATACAAAAAGTTGAGTTTCTAAATTGAAAACCGTTACACAATAGCACCTCCCCTGCTCTCCCCTCTTAATATCAGAAAAAGCACTTAAATCAAGGCACTCTACCTATGTAAACAATCCAGTGCTCTGGGCTGCTCTGTCTGGCTGTCTCTGTGTGATGCCAGAAGCTGTCTTCTAAACACACCACTAGAACTGGGACAACTAATGTCTTTGCTGGCCATCATCCAGGTCCCCTACCAGTAGACTAGGAACACCATGGTTTCCTCTACAGATTCAGTTCCTCCCTGTTCTAAAGCAGCATAGTTTTATTTATTTTTTTTTAAAGATTGATTGATTTATTTTTTCAGAGAGATTTTTGCTATAAGGTGTATGTGCTTGCTGGAGAGACAAAGAGAAACAGAGACAGAAAGTGAGAAGTCACTCCCCTAGAGGGATGGCCACACCACAGTTCCTTCTCTGTTTTCCTTTCGGGATCTTGGGCACGCATGCACATGTGCCTGGCATGAGTTTTAAGCTTCCGGGTCCGGGATTCAAACCATGGTACTATGTGGGAGTCCAGTGATGTAACCATTATGCCATCTGCTGGTTCCAAGAACTATTTATTTAAAATTGTATTTATCATCTTTTTTTAAAGAGATTTTTGCTATAAGGAGTGTGCGCTTGCAGTAGAGACAGAGAGACAGGAAGCAAAAACTCACTCTCTAGGAGGGATGGCCATGCCACAATCCCTTCTCCTTCATTCTCCTCTTGGGACTTTGGGCATGCACATACATGCACCTGGCATGAGTTTCAAGCCTCTGGGTCTGGGATTCAAACTGTGGTCGACTATGTGAGAGTCCAGCAACACAACCATTACGTCAT